TTTTTTCCCAAACGCTACGAGTGTAGATGCATAAGGTGAATGAATTACTTCCAGAGTTATCACGTGAGCAATATTATTGACGATAATACTGAATAAAAAGGAGAGGCATATATGTCATAATACAACATATACTGACTTTACGCATTCAAGAACAAAAAATATTAATCTGAAAACGCAATTTATATCATCGATGTGTATCGCTCCGCACAAACAATGCTAATGACACGTCCATATATTACATCAATACTAATATCCGGGCGTGTCGTCGTCGATCTATCTATACATCATTTCCATTGATATGTGATTATATATTTTTAAGAGATAATGATTTTTTGTTGATTGTCTAGTAAAATCTTTAATCTGTCTACAATGTAGGCCTAAGCATTAAGGTCTACTCAACCTCCTACATTATACATAGAGATGAGTCACAATCAAGATCGACTGTATAAATCCAATGTTAATGAACAGTTTTCGTCGGCTACTGTATATTATTGGCATACCAAAATATATATCCATTGGTTACATTAAGACAATGGATTTCCAAAACATTTACCATTAGTTAGACCATAAAGGAATACTAAAAAGCGTACCATCATCTTTTTTTATTAACTCAGAAAATAAAAATGAAACTAAAGTCATCGGTTGGTATACCAGCTGATAGTCCCATGTTCGAATCCCGGTGTGGGAAACTTTTTCCACATTCGATCGCAGATTCCTTTTCTTTAACATTCAAAATGTATTATAAGAGCTTGTCTCTTTGTACCATGATTTATATATATATATATATATATGTATATATATATATATATATATATAGGCCTATATGTATATCTCAAGTTAGCCGTTAACACTGTTAAACACTGTATTTACCTTTCTTTTATGATTTATATGATATACAACATGTTCCTATTCGAGCACTGTTATTATTATTTATCTATTTATTTACATAGCACAATATTATTTACTATGATTTCCAAGCTGCGACTATAAGCTTTTTTAGTTTGAGTCAGTTGTAGGAGAGAAAGTGGCTGGAAGTTAAATCTGCAAGTATATCCTATAGCTCTCAGTGGTCTAATGGATATAGAACCCGTCCTGACAGCGAGAGGTTGCATGTACGAATCCCGCCAGAGACACTTTTTTTTTCATTCAACTGAATTAAAAAGAACTTTTCTTTGAGGGGCTATGCTTGATACGATTATAACATCGGGTTCTTATTTGAGCACTGTATATATATATATATATATATATATATATATATATATAGGCCTATATATGTCACGTTAAAATAATGAAAGGAGCTCAGATTTTACCTACGGTATCGCTTGAATCACCACAATGCCTTCGTGGTCAAGTGGTTATGACGTTCGCCAGTATTCGAAAGGCCCCGGATTCGTGTCCTGGTGTATTTTTTTCTTCTTTCTTTGTCAGCTTGCTTTTCTGTTACATTTCAATTTATATATACAGTATATACATATTGACACATGCTAAAGAAGACCCGATGACGGGTCGAAATATTCATGTTTTGAATACATTTTGCGTTTTAAGTCTACCAAGTCGTTGTCATCTCATCATCTTTTCCATTGAGTTATATATCTAAGGAACACACGTGGATTATGCTTTATATACATATACAAATGTATTTATATATAAATGTATATATATATATTTATTTATGTATGTATATATATGTATATACAGGCCTATTATATATATATATATATATATATATATATATATATATATATACCGTATATATGGCCGTAAAACTACAGCGTATGTTGACGAAGTGCGCATGCCCAATCCGATAAATGGCCTGTTCATTCATTAGCAAGATGACAATAAGTATTAGTGTACATCGCTGTTTATTTACGTAACGAAGACACAGATACTAGATATGGTATGCATTACGGTATTTTGATAGTTAGGTAATGGCGGTGATACGTTAAAGACATTGTAAACGCATTCGTACGTATCATAACAGTAAATATCAAATCTGCACAATATGTACAAATTCACAGTGAGCCATACATATTATACAAGGCAATAACCCAATTTACACAAAACAGCGGCGAAAAACTGTTAATTTATCTTGTAATATAATTCAATTTTTCATGTAGTACTCTACATATTATCAACGCATATGATACTATATTTAATAATCGTGATATTATTTGCTATCTATATTTGTTTATTAATTATTATAATTATTATTAGTCAATAATAATTATTACAATCATCTCTATCAATATCTCATCATCCTCGTCGTCATCACCATCATAAGCATCACCACCATCATCACCATTTGTATCACCATCATCACCATCATCATCATCATCATCATCGTAATCTTCATCTTCATTATCATCACCACCAAAACCACCACCACCACCATAATTATGATTGCCATTATTATCCTGGTTTATCCAGCTTTACACACCATAAGCCTATCGAACTATACGATAGTGTTAATAAGTCAATATGTTCACCATAAATAAGCCTAAATCATTGGGTAAGGTAACAGTCAGTAATCAAAGAGCAAATATAATTGAAGTAACACGTGTACTTCCATGTAATTGTATTATTCCTGTTGTGCATAAAAAGCT